GCATGAGTTGCAGCAGAGGAAGACCCTCATATTTAAGACGGCGCTGTGAACGTATATTAGCCGTGTTAAACCATATAGCAAGAAAGAGCAGCATGGTTGCTTTACTGCCATGGTCTTCTTGTACTGGATTCCTGGTTTTCTGAATGGCCTTCATTATCAGTTCTATCTGTGAAGACAACAGAGTCAACACATCACTAACCATCGAACCTCCACAATGGATTATGTGGCTTAGGAAAGGAAGAAGCACAGGCCAAATTCAGATGGCATTAATGACTTATGTCCACCCAAAGCATCTTCACAAAACCCACCATTTATACTTCTAGATAAGCCGCCACCTGTCCATGAAATGGAACTCTACAAATGAAAGCCACCAATATATAATACTGTATCACCTCTAGGAAAATTGGGAAGCCAAATCCCTTCTGCTATGTCCAAACTTGAAGCAGTTTTCTCTCATTTTCCAGACAAAGGAATCTCAAGCCAGCAGAGGTTAACAGGCTTGACAATGATGTCCCTATGGACATCACCCAACACTATATATATAAAATATATGTATATATGCTTTAAGAACATCCTGGTTGAGGCTGGTGTCTCTGGATGTGACCCCTGCAATAGCCAGCCCCAAAAAGCACCCAAAGGAGAAGATGTGGTGGTCAGATGAAGGAAGTCAGAGGTTCAGCAGCAGAATTCCAACATATAGGAAGGAACTCAGGAAATCCCAGCAGCGGCAGGCACTGGGAGCATGCAGGGGGTGGGAGCATGGTGGGAGAAACAAGCCAGGAGCAGGACCCATCCCCAAGGATGGTGATGGATCAACACCCTGACCTTCTTCCAATACAGTTTCTGCTTTTCCTTGAATTCCTCCATTTTTTTTTGCTTCTTCCCAAATGGCTTCTGGCAAGTAGATCTGACCTTCCCCCCCACTACCTCTGCAAGGAAAAGAAATTTTCATATATATGTAGATACACACAAATGTACATATATATATATATATACACACACATACATACATACATGAAAAGACTGTTGCTCAATTCACCTGCTGTAGCTGACACCAAACCGACCCCACACTACACCTCCATTTCCAGAAACATAAAAGCAGCAGAAATTTTGATGCAGCATTAGCTATGTCAGCATCAGTCCTGCTGGAAGCCACTTTTCACTGTAAGAAAACTGATATCAAGAAGTTCAGCAAGCAAGCACAGTCATATCTGACAGTCACCCCGATGAATTCAGTCAGGTTTCAATACACAGCAACCTGAAGCAAAGAGTTGCCCCAGCTTAGCACACAGTCAAGATGGGCCACGGAAAAACTGACGCTAAAATACCCTCAGGGTCATCCTGCTGAAAGTGAGTGGCTATACTGCAGAACAGCACCCCAGCAAGCCCATCGAGGGCCATATGCAAAGTGTAGCTCACACTTCAAGACCCAGAGCTGTTTCAAACCCACACCTATGAATAGCCAGCTGCTTCAACAGCAGAGCCATGCTGGGGAGGTTCACCAAGAGGCAGGGCAGCAGACAAATGTGGCTGTGGCAGAGAGTGCACTCAGCATAGGAGAGCAGAGCGCCAGCCCTCAGGGTTGGGATGCTGCCTGCCATGTCTACATGGAAAAGAAGGGACAATGTAAGGTGGCCAAAGCATCATCTTGCAAATGCTCTGATTAGAATTGTGGAATCATTTAGGCTGGAAAAGACCTTTAAGATTATTGAGTCCAACCGTTTACCCTACACTGCTGGATCGTGTCCCAAAGTGCCACATCTGCACATCTTCGAAACACCTCCAGGGGAAAAATAAAACACAAAATAAAACTTGTTCTGGAATTACAGCCATAGTTGACACTTAGATCTGACCCTTGTTTTCCACAACAGTGGTCAATTAATTCACCAATTTATTCTCAAATGGCTTTGACAGCCAGGACTTCACTGCAGTTGCTCTCCAGGGTGCAGTGTATAACGTGGAGAAGGATAGGATATTAAGAGAAACATTCTTCATTTGAGAATGAAGACCTTGGGCCCACCGTAGGAGAGGAATTGGTTCGAGACCATCTTAAAAATCTGAACATGCACAAGTCCATGGGTCCTGCTGAAATCCATCTACGGGTCTCGAAGGAGCTGGTCAATGAAGTTGCTAAGCTGCTGGCCATCATATTTGAAAAATTATGGCAGTCCGGTGAAGTTCCCGACAACTGGAAAAAGGAAAATATAACCCCCATTTTCAAGAAGAGGGAAATGGATGACCCGGGGAATTACAGACCAGTCAGTCTCACCTCTGTGCCTGGCAAAATCTTGGAGCAGATTCTCCTGGAAGGCATGCTAAGGCACATGAAAATCAACAAGGTGCATGGTGACAGCCAGCATGGCTTCACTAAGGGGAAATCCTGCCTGACCAATTTGGTGGCCTTCTATGATGGGGCTGCAGAACTGATGGACAGCGGTAGAGCAGTTGATGTCATCTACCTGGACTTGTGCAAAGCTTTCGACACTGTCCCACACGACATCCTTGTCTCTAAATTGGAGAGACATCCATTTGATGAATGGACCACTCGGTGGGTAAAGAACTGGCTGGAGGGCCGCACACAAAGAGTTGTGGTCAATGGCTCAATGTCCGGCTGGAGACCAGTAACGAGCGGTGTCCCTCAGGGATCGGTGTTGGGACCGGTCTTGTTTAACATCTTCATCGCTGACATGGACAGTGGGATTAAGTCTGCCCTCAGCAAGTTTGCCGATGACACTAAGCTGTGTGGTTCGGTTGATATGCTGGAGGGAAGGAATGCCATCCAGAGGGACCTTGACACGCTTGTGAGGTGGGCTGATGCCAACCTCATGAAGTTTAGCCATGCCAAGTGCAAGCTCCTACACCTGGGTCGGAGCAATCCCAGGCACAGCTACAGGCTGGGCAGAGAAGAGATTCAGAGCAGCCCAAGGAGAAGGACTTGGGGGTGCTGGTCGATGAAAAAATGAACATGCGCCAGCAGTGTGCACTTGCAGCCCAGAAAGCCAACCGTATCCTGGGCTGCATCAAAAGGAGGGTGACCAGCAGGTCGAAGGAGGTGACCCTGCCCCTTTATTCTGCTCTCGTGAGACCTCACTTGGAGTATTGTGTACAGTTCTGGTGTCCTCAACGTAAAAAGGACATGGAACTGTTGGAACAATTCCAGAGGAGGGCAATGAGAATTATTAAGGGACTGGAGCCCCTCCCATATGAAGATCGGCTGAGAAGGTTGGGGCTGTTCAGCCTGGAGAAGTGAAGGCTGCGTTGAGACTTCATAGCAACCTTCCAGTATCTGAAGGGGGCCTACAGGAATGCTGGGGAGGGATTCTTCCTTAGGGATTGTAGTTACGGGACAAGGGATAATGGGTTCAAACTTAAACAGGAGAAGTTTAGATTGGATATAAGCAGGAAATTCTTTCCTGTTAGAGTGGTGAGGCACTGGAATAGGTTGTCCAGTGAGGTTGTGAATGCTCCATCCCTGGCAGTGTTCAAGGCCAGGTTGGAGGAGGCCTTTGGTGATACTGTTTAGAGCAAGGTGCCCCTGCCCATGGCAGGGGGTTTGGAACTTTATGATCTTAAGGTCCTTTCCAACCCTAACTATTCTGTGATTCTATCATTTCAGTTTGACGCAGCTGTGAGCCAAGTCATTTCAGTTCAGATCATTCCACAACTACTGAAATGCAGACAGGGACACACTAGACCAGGTTGTGCTAAGCCCCGTCCAGCCTGGCCTTGAACAGTGCCAGGGATGGGACATGTGTTTTTAGATAGGCACACACCCCCAATCTAACCGCTTCCAGCAGCAGACAAACAAACACAGACACAAACATGGACTGGAGATAACACCCTCTCTGCCGCTTTAAACCCACTCAGGAATAGCCCCAAACACGAGACAAAGTGCTGATGAAGGCTCCAAGGCTTGTAACAACCCCGCAGACCTCTCCCCTCCGCTCTAACCTCGCCAGACCCAACACAGCCAAGAGGCAGCGGAGCCAGTCCATATGAGGACCGGCGGAACCTCACCCGGAGCCAATCCCCGCCTTCCCCCCGGACCTTTGGACTGCTCTTGGGGCGGGCGTTGTGGGGCCCCCTCACGGCCTCCGCCATGGCCATACTCTGCAGCACCACCAAGCCGCAGCCACGGCTACTGCGGGCGGAAGCGGGGGAAGATTGACACCGCCCCCACCCGCTCCCCTCCAGTCAGCAGCGCGGTGGCTACGTGAAGCACGGAAGGACTCAGCACAGAACGCAGAGCTGGGAGCCGGAGCATGGCCGCCAGGCCTGGGTGAGGCAGGCCTCCTGTCAGGAGGGGAGCGGGCTTGGGGTAGGCTCACATATACGCTCAGATATGGGAAGGCCAGGTTCCTTTGTAAGGGTGTGGGGGGAGTATCCCACAGAATCCTGTGGGGAAGCCAGGCTCCCCCATAAGTGTTTGAGATGAGGATCGGCACTCCTACAAGGGCCTGTGGGGGAACAGAATCCTTTATAAAGTGCTGTGTGGAGGCCAAGCTCCTCTATAGGAGCCTTGGAGGGAGATAAGTTCTCCTGCTGAGAATCAGATGGGAGGCCAGGATCATCTCTAGGAACCGGAGAAGAATCCAAACTTCTCTATAAGGGAGTGGCCAGGCTTCCCCTAAAAGGACTGGCAGGGAGGCAAGGCTCATCTATAGGAGCCTAGGAGGAGGCCAGGTTCCCTTCTACGGACCTGTGGAGGGGCCAGGCTCTCCTATAATGCCCCCAGGACAAAGGGGGGTGGGGAAGGAGTCTCCTCCGTAAGAGTCTGGGGCAAGGCCAGATGTCTGTGGGGAGGTCAAGCTGCTGCTACAGGGAACACGAGGTAAGAAACCAAGCCCCTACTACGGAGGCTGGGCAGTGTGAGTTCTCTTCTTTCTACTTGTGCCATAGCAGGACCCGGAAGTGCCACCGGAGCGGGGCAGCCTGTGTGCAGTGCCTGAGGCATCTCCAGCCACAGCAGGGCTCCAGTCTCAGCCTGCGGGACCAGGTGTCACTGACCGTTTTGATCCCTACTCAGGTGCTCAGCTGCCCCAGGGAGCCACCGATGGAGCCCAGGCCATGCCCCACTGGAGCAGAAGTGATTTCAGCCAGTCCCCAGATGGATGAGTCCCTGCAGAGCTCAGTCCCTCCTCGCAGAAGACATTGTAGTCAAAGACCTAATGATCTTGAACAGGTAATGTCCACTCTCTTAGGCCTTGTACTTTGGCCTTGAGAAGACCCTTTGTTATCAACATCATCTGTCATTTGTAATACCTGTAGGAAAGGTAAATTGTGTGTGGGTCAAGGCAGAGATGATCCTGACCAGGAGCCCATTGCACATTACAGAGCTGGTGATCCCCTGAGCAGGCACAGGGCTGGTCTGCATTGCCCAAGCCCTGTGGCTGCAGGGTGAGCTTCACCACCTCATGGTAACGGGGTTCATGGGCAGCTCCTGCCTGATACTGACAATTCCACCAGCTGCCTGGCCCTGCCTGTATCTGGAAATGCAGCAACAAGTTCTCATGTAAACTTCCTTCATGACTAATGCTGCTTTCTTGTGATGCCTTATGTATTAGCTCGTATTACCAAAAAGGAAGAGCTCTAACTCTGCCTGAAGGCAGAATGCCCAGCATCTGAAGGGACATAAGATTTACACGCTACCTGTATCCCTCTTCTTATTTTGTGTTATTAAAGCAGCTATGGCCTCTCTGTCCCTAGGGGGGGAGGCATGAGCTGTTCAGCTGGTTATCAGGGTCTCTTGATAGGCCCTTCACTTCTATGGGTGTCTGGGAGGAGGACAGACCCCTCTAGAGAGGCCTGTGAGGAAACTCAGCCTGACCGTAGGGGCCTCTGTGGAGGCTAAAGTCTTGGTGTGTTCTGTCCCAGAGCTGTCGTGGTATTGATCAAGTAGGAAGTAAAGGCTGAGCAAGGATATGCTCTTGGAGGCTTCCTCCCAGGAGAAGGAACCTGAACATCCTAGGGTGCTTTGAAGATGTACCAGCCCTAGCCTAGACAAAAAAGTCAGTATGGCATCTTTCAGAAGAATGATAGCCACCACGCAAGTCTCAAAATTTAATCATAAAAGATGTGTGTGAGAACTAAGACTACAGCAGGGTCCTTCAGGAGAATATTTCTACACTTGGTCCTTCAGAAATGTAAATGGACAACCGATTCCTTGGCATGTGCCCTTTGCACAGTCCATTGTAATGCATCAGGAGAGATGTTTAAGCTCACTGCCATCTTCTCCACAGAAAGAAATACAGGAGAAGCTCCAGTCGTTGTTTGGCTTAGAAATGCACTGAAGTCACACAGATTCAACTTGAAGAATATCATACAGCAGCAGCTCCTGTTTCTCCAAACTTAAGGTACCTGGCACCAGGTTTAAACAGCTGAACTGTGTGCTGGTTCCCTTCTCCTCCATCCCTGTGTCGTAAGGCACTGAGGAGCTTCTTAAGCATTGCTGCACATGAGGATATAAGAGAGGAGAGACAGCAGCAGCCCTGCAGCAGATGAGATTCTGAATAAAAGCCGTGATCACGTATATAGTAACAAAAAAAGTAAGAAATTTGGGAGATATGGTCAGAAAATGAGTTTCAGGGCTCCAGCCCAACACTAATAACTAACTTTATTTCCGGTGGTAAATAGTCACAGCAAGTCCAAGGGACTTCTTTACCAGAAGTTAATCAAATGAGGGTCTGTGGAGCCTACCAGCCGTGAGCTGTACCATGAACCTAAAAATCTGCAAGGCCCTCATTGGAGAGGTGGTTGAAGAGCTAACCAACTTCTCCAGATCCTCAGCAACACTGCAGGGTGCAGGTTTGTGGCAGCACAGCCTCTCAGTGGGTAGCTGTGCTCTGGCCCGCTACACCAGGGAAGATGCAAATCAGCTTCCAGTATCAGCACTTAAACCTAAAGCACAATCACAGCTAAGCCAGACACGTAGTGTATTGTTGGTGCACCTCTAAGTGAGCTCCCTGAAAGACGTGGCCAAATGAAACCTACATTACAAGCTTAATCAGCATTAATGAAGAACTTGAGAAACAGGGAAAAGCTTAACCTGAGATCTGAGTGGGGTATATATGCCCTAAACATTAGCCAGTTTCCCAAAGCATTGTGCAGAACTCCCCTCAGCACGTATGACTTCTTGGTTATCTCCAGAATCTTTCAGACGGCTGCACTTCAAAAGAATTTCAAATCAAAACCTTCTTCTGACACAGATGGCCCCTGTGTCTGGATTCATCGCTTAGATTCCTTTTCTTCCCCCGAGTGTGAACATGCCATATCTGTCCAAGCAGTTTGCTGATGTCAGGCACATATCTTTAATGGGCACTTTCTGAGTGTGCAGATAATTATCTCAGACCTCAAATACTTTGCTGAAACAGAGAAGCACTTCAGCTCTGTGTGGCTGCTGTGAGAAATGGTTTGTAGCTAAAAAAGCTCAGGGTAGATACAACAGTGAAGCAGCTCTTTATTAATGGTTTTGCAAAAAACGGGTGTCCTAGCAAGCAGGCACACACAGCAAAGCAGAACTATGATTTGTATTTCCTATCCCATCCACAAGTTCCCTCCCTTGTTTCCCAGTTGGTTGGGTACTCCAAGGTTTACAGCCTATTCAGTGCTTATAACCTATGTGCTAACTGTCCTGCCTCTGTTTATACCTCCCCTTCCTCGACATTGTACCACTCTTCCTCTTATTTTCTAACCACATCATTATTAACCACATAATCCTTTTCCGGTTCTATTTTGCAAGTCTTTGGCAGACATGTGGTACCCCAACTTACTGTTTAACCAGCCTGCACCAGCTTAGTTTGTACATAGACTGTATTCTTTTTAACCAAGGAGTGTATCTTTCATCTAGAGATGACATTGGCTTTAACCACAGAGTGTGTCTTTTGAGTTACTAGATCTCAAACCCTTTGTTTCGTTCCCTTAGTAACTTAGCCCCAGCCCCAGTATTGAAAACTCTTAATATTACAAAGTCTTAATATTGATCTTGAAGCTCTAATATTGGAAAGCCTTCATATTGCAAAGCCCCATCTCCCGTTACGCGAAAACAACACTCTTTCTCTCACAATTCCCCCTTTCTCTTATGTATACTGGGTTTGGTTTTTGCACTTTCTTTAAAGAATTACCCCATATGTCGCTTTCAGTCTGGATAACGTAACTTCACAGTTTTGGTCTAAAGATTAGTTGTCCCAACCATCTTCAAATATTTGGTTTGTGTTTGTTTTTGTTTTTTTTTTTCAATCTGAAACATTTAATCAGAGTAGGGTGATTGTCCCATGAGCATTTGTTTTGACAAAGTTGTTTAAAGGAGTTGTACACATCTTCCTATATACAGAATTATGTAGCACCCTATAGCTATTCAGACACCTGCTACTACAGTTATGGAAGTAAAAACTGGTATCACCATTGCTCTCCATTTTCCAAATCAGGATTCTAACCATCCTGTTAATGAAATACCTGTTCTCTTATTTACAGCCAATTCTTCTGCCAACGTAGTGAGGCCTTGAAAGGGCCTGGTTATGGCTCCATCTGGTGTTGTATTATTTGGAATAAATGTGCAACACGTATCCCCTAGCATTATGCATACTCCTCCTTATTCAGCTAATATATCTAAAACTATTCTATTTTCACTGTATGTTTGACCCATTCTACCCAGGAATTTGTATTTCTGTATCCTTTTTCTATTCCAAACATCTACTTTAAAACTTTAATTGCGTTTAATTTTTACTGTCTTGGGATTATTTGTTGGAGCACCATGTCCCCACCGATGGAGGAATGGTAGTGTCCACAGGCTGGCCACATTCGTTCCTCTTTGGCTCCCAAGTCACTATTGTAAATCTAGCAATTGAATCCCCTCCTGTCACATCTGCCCCCAGGCCATGAACTTGGCTTATTGCCCCTCCAAGCACTTGCAATAGCAAGTGCGTGGGACAACACTCTTAACACCACACATTCAGATTCTGAGTGACCTTTAAACATCGTAATTTTACATTTTAGAGATTTTCTCTAAGCACTGTGTGAGATCCACCCATTAAAGCCAGTTGTAAACCAAGCATCACTCCACCTAGGAGAAGGTGATTCCCAGTATGTCTGGATATAACAACACTGTTTCTCTCACAGCTAGGATTAACTGGAAACACCACCACACTGGCCAGACCAACAGTGTCTTCTGCCTGGAGAACCTACAAACAGGATCAACAGCATCTAGGGATGTAGCCATCAACTGTGGCATAAGCAGGCTCACCTGAAACAGAGAGTACAAAAAGAGTTAGGTCTGCTTATGAGAAGTGCTCATTGCGAGATTCTACACAGAACAGAAACACTGGCCACCTGTGTTAAAGGGATGGAAAACAATGGTGGATGAGGCTGAAAGAGATGTCTTGATTCTATGATTCCATGATTTGCCAAACAACCAAGGCATTTTACCAAGTTCCATCACTAAAGTGCCCAAGGGAATTATATAGCTTCTCTATATAGCTTAAGCTCCACAAATGCCTACATAGAAGACTTTGATCAGAACATCTCCTTAGTGAAACCTTGTCTCCAAAGTCAGTGTCCAGCTTCCCAGGATCTTTTAGGGGGGACCAGACTTCACCCAAACCTTTCCCTTTAGAGAGCTAGAGCTCGTGATCTGATGGGGAAGAGCAAAAGCAGAGATTTTCTGTGGAGCAAGAAACCCCATAAAGTAAGTAATTCTGGTGCACTGGTCAGGGTGGTTAGAGGTGCCCTCCTGCACATTAGAAAAGACAGAGCTGAGGATCTGCGTGACTCTAGGACTCCCAGTGCCCTGGCTCAGTGCTTCCCAGCTGGCCTCCCAGACCTGCTACTAAGGCAAGAGGTTAGGCCAGCCTGGATTTTACAGAAACCTGACACCAAGGCATGTCATGGGGGGCTGACATGAAGCCAGAGGGCACTGCGGAAATAGTTGATCCGTTCACACTCCTGGGTCTCGAAGAACTGAAACAACACAGACAAAACAGCCTTAACATCTGTAAGGAGAGAGCAAATCCCACGACAAAGATCTGTGTCCACAGCAAGGAGCAGGTGATGTTGGGCTTCTGCAGGAAACATGGTAACCATGAGTCATAGAATCATAGAACCAACTAGGTTGGAAAAGACCTCGTCCAGAGAAGCCATCCCTTTACACAGCCAGATATTTCAAAGATGAGCATTGAGTTGAGGAAGCTCTGCAGGACCCATGCGGAAGGGGTCACTCAGCACACCACTACCTCTGGGGAGACGAAGACTGCTTCCTGAAGGCACTGCATGTTCCCTAGGTACGCCATGGTCTTGCAGTCCCAGCTGACTTCTCTCCCACAGCTATGGAGTAATAAAAAAGCATTGGGGATCTATGAAAGCAAAGTGTCTTGGCTCATTTGTCTTCTCTTTCTTCCCCATCCCTTTTCCAAGCAGCTTTAAGCTCAAGTCTTTTGAAATGTGCTGTCTGGTATAGCTCCATTTCATGCCTGAGCGACAGCCTTTCATCCCATGTGTACGTATGCACTTGTTATGACTTGCTCTTTGCAAGCTTGCAGCAGACATGGGATAAAACCTCAACCTCTGCACTTCCTGCCCATAGAATCACAGAATCATAGAATAGTTAGGGTTGGAAAGGACCTTAAAATCATCTAGTTCCAACCCTCCTGCCATGCACAGGAACACCTCACATTAAACCATGCCACCCAAGACTGCGTCCAACCTGGCCTTGAACGCTGCCAGGGATGGAAAATTCACAGCTTCCTTGGGCAACCCATTCCAGGGCCTTACTACCTTCACAGTAAAGAACTTCTTCCTCATATCCAACATAAATTTCTCCTGTTTAAGTTTGAAGCCATTACCCCTTGTCCTATCACCAGAGTCCCTAACGAAGAGTCCCCTCCCCAGCATCCCTGTAGGCATCTTTCAGGTACTGGAAGCTGCCAGGAAGTCTCCACGAAGCCTTCTCCAAGACGAACAGCCGCAACTTTCTCAGCGTGTCTTCATATGGGAGGTACTCCAGCTCCCTTGTCATCCTCGTGGCCTTCCTCTGGACTAGCCCCAACAACTCCACGTCGTTTTCATACTGAGGACACCAGAACTGTATACAGTACTACAAGCAAGGTCTCATGAGAGCAGAGCAGAGGAGCCACATCACCTCATTAAACACTTTTTACATATGAGAGACAGCTGCAAGACACAGCTCAGCAGCAGAGCAGCATCACGGTCCTGTTGCAACCAGTTCTGGGTTTCCCTAGCACTTGCTGGAAGTCCTGACTAGACCACTGTACTATGAGGCAGTTTGCTTTAGACTGATGTATCTGCTCGGAGGGGTTCCCATGCTACCACATGAGATATATTTGTGAAGGGCTGCTGGCAGACCGAATTCACATGGAGATGGCTTCACCCAGCTTCCATCCTCAGTGTGCCAGTACCTTCTGCTGCAAATTCATTTAAAGTCCTTCAGAGTTTCAGAGGCTGCTAGGTGGTGCCCTGGCTGAAGAACACACTGGCCTTAAGCCACTGAGTACTCAGAAGTGACTACGGCTGTCCAGGATAATGGCCACACCAATCGTGCAAGCAGGTTAATGGGTAATAAGGTCACTACTTTGATTCTGTTACTTTGAAAAGGTAGTGTAAGGAAAAATAAAAACAAAAAAAAAAAGTGGAAACCTTAAAGTGGTGAGACCTTAAATACAGAAGCTAAGCCAAACACACACACAGGGATAGCTGCAACATGTTCTGCTGCTTCACTGCCAGGGCAACAAAGAGACAGCAGATCTGTGCCATCCTGGAACCCTGCAGTGAGGAGTACACATCCAGAGGACCACACTGCCACGTAAAGGCGTTTGGGTGCTTTTACCTCACAAATTTGGCATTCTCTTTCTGTCATTCTTCCTGGATCTTCTCCAGTGTAGTAACGCTCTGCTGGTAACTCCTGCCTTTGAGACAAATCACACTGTCATCTGATTAACATTAATTAAAAAGACCCTTTGTTAGAAAGCAGTACATGAAACCTGAATTGGCAGGGTCATCAGGGAGAAAGCAGTAATATGTGAGCTCAGCTACGGATGGGCACTGCAAGGGAATGCAGAGCTGTACAGGAAGGTGGAGGGCCATGCCACAACTGGGAGAGTGAAGAATGATACAGGAGAGCTAACATGCATCACCAACAGTAATGAAGCCCAGCTAGAGAACATTGCTGGCCTTTCCATCTCATCCCCAAACCCAGAACTTGGATAATAGTTATGGGGCAGGAGAGATCCAAGAACATACACCCTTTCTCCTCCTGTCCCATGGCCATTCACCTCTCTATACCTTCTCCTGCTACTTTTGTGCAACCATGTTTGTGTTGTGGTGCACAGCTGGTTCCTCCTCATCCTTATCCCTACAGTGCTGCTTATAAGGGCGCTTGGCCTAGGAGAGCCAACAAACAGGGCAGGAGCGTGTTAGCAAGCAAGGAGTTACTACTACAGCTCATGCAGCTAGCTCTGGAGGAAAAAAACCTCCAAGTGAAAAGGTGGCCAAAGACTGCCAGCAGAGCAGGGGACAGTACACAATGCCTCCAGCGCCCTGCTGCTTGAGCAAAACTGACCTCACAACACAAGCTGCACTTCACTTGGCATGAAAAGCTCATAGCAATTGGGTCCTTGACATCTAAATCACTCTTATCCAACCGTGCAAGGCTGCTACCAGCCATGTCCTTGGTGTACTCTTCAGTTTTTCAGAGCACACTATGCAGACAGGAATGTGACGGTCTTCCTCTTCTGCAGCCCTTGATGTAGTGTCTGCATGAGTTGCAGCAGAGGAAGACCCTCATATTTAAGACAGCGCTGTGCACATATGTTAGCAGTGTTAAACCATATAGCAAGAAAGAGCAGCATGTTTGCTTTACCGCCATGGTCTTCTCGTACTGCAGATTCCTGGTTTTCTGAATGGCCTTCATTATCAGGTCTATCTGTGAAGACAACAGTCAACACATCACTGACCATCGAAGCTCCACAATGGACTATGTGGCTTAGGAAAGGAAGAGGCACAGGCCAAATTCAGACGGCATTAAGGACCTATGTCCACCCAAAGCATCTTCACAAAACCCACCATTTATACTTCTAGATAAGCCGCCACCTGTCCGTGAAATGGAACTCTACAAATGAAATCCACCAATATATAGTACTGTATTATCTCCATAGAATCTAGGAAAATTGGGAAGCCAACTCCCTTCTGCTATGTCCAAACTTGCAGCAGTTTTCTCTCATTTTCCAGACAAAGGAATCTCAAGCCAGAAGAGGTTAACAGGATTGCCAATGATGTCCCTATGGACATCACCCAACACTATATATATAAAATATACGTATATATGCTTTAAGAACATTCCTGGTTGAGGCTGGTGTCTCTGGATGTGACCCCTGCAATAGCCAGGCCCAAAAAGCACCCAAAGGAGAAGATGTGGTGGTCAGACAAAGGCTGTCAGAGGTTCAGCAGCAGAATTTCAATATATAGGAAGGAACTCAGGAAATCCCAGCAGCGGCAGGCACTGGGAGCATGCAGGGGGTGGGAGCATGGTGGGAGAAACGAGCCAGGAGCCAGGATCCATCCCTAAGGATGGTGATGGATCAACACCCTGACCTTCTTCCAATACAGTTTCTGCTTTTCCTTGAATTCCTCCATTTTCTTTGCTTCTTCCCAAAGGGCTTCTGGCAAGTAGATCTGACCTTCCCCCCCACTACATCTGCAAGGAAAAGAAAGTTTCATATATATATAGATACACACAAATATACATATATATATACACACATACATACATACATGAAAAGACTGTTGCTCAATTCACCTGCTGTAGCTGACATCAAACCGACCCCACAGTACACCTCCATTTCCAGAAACATACAAAAACAGGAATTTTGATGCAGCATTAGCTATGTTAGCGTCAGTCCTGCAGGGGGGCACCTTTCAGTGTAAGAAAATTGATATCAAGAAGTTCTGCAAGCAAGCACAGTCACATCTGCCCCTCACCCCGATGAATTCAGCCAGGTTTCGACACACAGCAACCTGAAGCAAAGAGTTGCCCCAGCTTAGAACACAGTCAAGCTGGGCTACCGAAAAACTGACACTAAAAGACCCTCAGGCTCATCCTGCTGAAAGTGAGTGGCTATACTGCAGAACAGCACCCCAGCAAGCCCATCGAGGGCCATATGCAAAGTGTAGCTCACACTTCAAGACCCAGAGCTGTTTCAAACCCACAGCTATCAATAGCCAGCTGCTTCAACAGCAGAGCCATGCTGGGGAGGTTCACCAAGAGTCAGGGCAGCAGACAAATGTGGCTGTGGCAGAGAGTGCACTCAGCACAGGAGAGCAGAGCACCAGCCCTCAGGGTTGGGATGCTGCCTGCCATGTGTACATGGAAATGAAGGGACAATGTAAGGTGGCCAAAGCATCATCTTGCAAATGCTCTGATTAGAAGTGTGGAATCATGTAGGCTGGAAAAGACCTTTAAGATTATTGAGTCCAACAGTTTATCCTACACTGCAGAATCCACCGCTAGATCGTGTCCCAAAGTGCCACATCTGCACATCTTCAAAACACCTCCAGGGGAAAAATAAAACACAAAATAAAACTCGCTCTGGAATCACAGCCATAGTTGACACTTAGATCTGACCCTTGTTTTCCACAACAGTGGCCAATTAATTCACCAATTTATTCTCAAAGGGCTTTGACAGCCAGGACTTCACTGCCGTTGCTCTCCAGGGTGCAGTGTACAACGTGGAGGAGGATAGGCTACTAAGAGAAACATTCTTCATTTGAGAATGAAGACCTTGGGCACACCGTAGGAGAGGAACTGGTTCAAGACCATGTTAAAAATCTGAACGTGCACAACTCCATGGGTCCTGATGAAATCCAACCACGGGTCCTGAAGGAGCTGGCAAGTGAAGTTGCTGAGCCGCTGGCAATCATATTTGAAAACTCATGGCAGTCCGGTGAAGTTCCCGACAACTGGAAAAAGGAAAATATAACCCCCATTTTCAAGAAGGGGGAAATGGATGACAGGGGAATTACAGACCAGTCAGTCTCACCTCTGTGCCTGGCAAAATCTTGGAGCAGATTCTCCTGGAAGGCATGCTAAGGCACATGAAAATCAACAAGGTGCTTGGTGACAGCCAGCATGGCTTCACTAAGGGGAAATCCTGCCTGACCAATTTGGTGGCCTTCTATGATGGGGCTGCAGAACTGATGGACAGCGGTAAAGCAGTTGATGTCATCTACCTGGACTTGTGTAAAGCGTTCGACACTGTCCCACACAACATCCTTGTCTCTAAATTGGAGAGACATCAATTTGATGAATGGACTACTCGGTGGATAAAGAACTGGTGGGATGGCCACAC